TGGAGGTAATAGTTCTGGAGATAGCTTTATCAACTAAAAATTCATTGAAAGATTGGCCTAGTAGCAAAAAATGACATAAAAGTGGTTTGCATACTGGACTGCATTTAGACGAAACTCTTTTGGGTAAATGGAGTTCAATTTGAAAGAATTTTCTCGTTCCGTTTAAGTACAATATGTAAGAGTGAACTAAATACGGGGCGGCGGCTAGCTTTGCTGATGGGAGGCGATTCTGTTAAATTTTAAAGGGTGTCAAATGCTGAGCATCGGCTTCCTCTTCCAATAAAGAAGTATTCATCAATGGTCTACTATCGCAATTCGCATTACCTGAATTTTATATTAAATAAGTGGAAGCGGGATTGTTCGAGAATGTGAGGAACCAGTAACAAGCAAAATCTTTTGTGAACAGATGTGAGGCCGGTGCCCGAATAGTGACCAATTCCAATCTCACGGAGAGCTCTATCAACCACCTGAAGCAGTTGGACCATCCTGGAGCCGAGTTTGGCAAGTGAGTTTCATTGTAGACATTTCTTTGACTCGCCGTTGCTGCACATTCTCCAAAAACCTGTTTTTAGATGCACATTAAGTTAAGAGTCAGGACATAGTGTGGGGTCCAAATGTAAGAAGGATGGATGTGCTGCTTGAGCAGATAATTTACACTTTCCGTTTCCGTTGTGCTGTTTGCTGTCAACCTAAGATATCATCTGGTAAAATGTGAGGTTGTTAAAACCATTTCCTCTTCGCAAACCGAACACATCTACTCATGTGTTGACGCAGGTCATGGTGGGCATGCAGATTAATTTGTTTGGCTTTAGAAACAAGAAAAGTTAACTACCGATGACAATTTCCACTGTGTTGGTGCACTGGTCTCATTCCAACGAACACTTGGTGTTAATGTGGATAAAATGGCCACATAGAATCGTATGGTTTCCACTTTTAGAATATGGCGAGATTAAATTGTTTAAATAAGTTGAGACATTAAAAAAATTTCCTTTGAACTACATGTTGACTTAATTTTACCCCTTAAAAGGAAGGCGTAGTCCATTTTATCCAGACTTCCGCCTCTCCTTCGTTTTCTGTCCATTTCTCTGTGCGGGATCGGTTGATGTTAAAATGTGTAAACAACATGCAAGTCCTATAAGCACCTAAAGCCATGGAATCTCGCTTTACAGGGAAGAACTTTCTTGCAGCTCAGTGACTGGATCTTAATGTCTTCAAGTAGATATAAGTCGCAGAATGTAACCACTCATCCTTCTGCTAGCAAAAAAGCCATCTGTAGGCCACTCTAAGCATTGTCGAGTAAAGTAGTCTTTTGTTGTTATCTGTAAATGCACACCGAGTAAACAACAACAAAATGATTCAATCCCAAATATGGGCAGTCCCGCTTAAAGTTGTGTATGGTAGGAGTCAGATTTCCATGATGACATTTTTAGGCCGCATATTCGCTTGCAGAACTTCCTTTAAAAGCACCATAATTTTGTATGAGCGTAAGAATGAGACCGAATTAAGTTTGACATACAGAGCGGACAAGCTAAACTCATGTCCGGTTTAGCTTACACCTGCAAAGAACTCAAAGCGACAAAGCAAGACATAAACATAAATCGTGTCATTCGGCTGTTACTAATCCAAGGTTTACATGTAATCCATCTATCATGTTGTACGATTGCCTAAACGTTCCAAAGTACACACATAGTTAAAATGAAATTGAATGATATCCAAGCCCTCGAATCCAAATTTTGACAATCAACTATAAATGGTTCATGAGTTCAACTGTCAGGTAGATAAAGGATGTGAAGCATTTAAAGTAGGTAAAATCAAGAGTCATAATTGTTGCCTTAAGTGTGGAGTTTATGCCACTCCTACCGATGTCCACGTTACGGAGATCCTTCCCAGTAAAAACTTCAATATCTGACAAAGATATTGGGTAAAGCGGGATCTGAAGTAACTAGCCTCACCACTACCTTAAACACGCAAAGTTGTTTATGGGAAATGCGCTTCTGCAGAAAACTACCAGTTACCTCTTCAGTGCCTCGATTTCTCCCTTCGTACAATGCGGCTACCCCTTCCAAATGCATAGTTTTATTATCAACTTTAACACATTACAACGTCAGCATTACATTCGCTGCTTTATCAGAATAGGCAGTTTGAATTAAGCTTCTTTAATTCAATCTTTGGCTTTTGCAATGGCATTAATGATAAGGAAGACAGAGCTATGAAATTGCCATACGTAGGTAACATCAAAGTAAATTAAGAAAGGATTTGCCTTTGGGATGATCAAACATTACATGCAGAACAACAACCTGGAAATCAGTCCCTCCACCTGCTAGTCACGCACTTCTTCTACTAGAGGACGCTTCCATTACTAACCATAATAAATGTAGTAGTCATAGCATTTCCTCGACTCCAACACCCTATAAGCTCTCAATGCATTTAAATGACATTCCATTAGGCAATACTTATATAAATTGTCCCCCTTTAAGCTTCGTCGAGCACGTGCCCGATCCCATCCCCCCGAGCTTCACAGGACCGATCGTGCCGCCAACATTGACTACCGTTGAGACATTGGATGCCTACTTCGAAGTGCCGGTGGATACTGGCAACGGCACTAAGGTCGATTTCGTTTGGCTGCAGAATGGCGAACCTATTCACTTTGGTAAAACAACTTTCTCTTAAATAGTTCCCCCATCCCTGTTCTGTCATTATGAACACTGCTGTTCTCTTATAGGTTCTCGCATCAACGGCAAGCTAGAGATGGGCATGGCTAGCCTAAGTTTTAAGTACGTTCTGCCCTCAGACATGGGCCACTACGTGTGCTGTGTCACCACGGAACACGGGAGAGCAGAAACCCAGTCTGCCGAACTCGTCGTTGAGACTACAAAGAATCTTATTACAGATACCCAGTTGAAGGAACCAAAGGGTACTTAATAATGACGTTATTTTAACATTTTTGGAAGGTCTCCTCAAGGACACTCCACTGTCAACTGAGCATCAAAACTCACATGGTCAAATGATTTATGGTGTCCTGTAGTTAGTCAAGCTGCAAAAAAATTTTCAGAATAGAACTTTACTTATTTGTTGTGATATTAAGTGCAATAACAGCTCTTTACTTATGATTACACAAAATATTGACTTCAGTAAATCTTGTCAAATAACATTAGTAGGCTACGAGCGGAAAGTTTTAGAACATGCTACAACAAGAATGTGTGGCAGTAAAAATAACTGCGGTCCAAAAGGTCTAAACCATTAGTGACAACCAGAATACAATGACCACGCAGGTTTGCAGGCTGTTCAGGATCTTGAGGCGATGCTGAATGCTCCTCGGCCTGACAATTTCCAAGAGGATGGACCTGCTGCTAGCCCCACAATTGTTATTCAACCGAAACCTGTAGGCAGCTGCGTTGAGGATGAGACGGTGAGCTTCCGCCTTCAATATGAGCCCTCCAATGATCCTAACCTTGTCGTTCATTGGTAA